GACAGAGAAGAAAATGTACATATGAAAAATAGGAACTGCCAAGTGTGCTGCATGCCTGTCATCCCAGCCTTCTGGCAGGAAGATGGCAAGTTCAAGCCCAGCCGGGGTCTCTCAGTGACTTCAGGAAACTTGCCTCAAAATTAAAAAGATCTGGTGAAATAGCTCACTATGAAGATTGGGTTCAATTTCTAGTATGGGAAAGAGAGAAGAGAGAGACACAATGATCAAGTCAATGAAACTGAAGTCAGAAGGCAAGTACAAGAGCCCAAGAGATAACAGAATATGTACATCTTGAGGTGTAACACAAAATAATGGGAATTAAATGATAAATTGCCCTTAGACCTTTTCTGGCCTCCCAAATAAAAAGTAAATGTAATCCTTAGTTTGACTGTCATGGTTTTTGAAAAGATGGATACAAATTCTTAATAGAAACAGTGTTTCAGTAGACTTTAAATAAATATCTTGCCTGTACTGAACAGCAACAGTAACAGAGGGAAACGTGTGCCCCCTCCACACGTGGTATAGCAGGTTACACGACACTGTTTCTTTCAGTGACCATCCCTGAAAGCTGCAGGGATAATATGAATGTGTGATCTACCCAGACCAGTTTTTAATAGGGTCACAGTAACCTAAAATACATATGTAGCTGTCTAGAGATTCCCTCAAGCCCGAGGGAAAATACAAATTAAGACCTCAACCTCTCCTGTCTGTTGTAGCAGGGCAGATGTCAAGGGCGAATGAAGCAGGCTAGCATACACACACAGCAAGAACAACCTGGAGATTGTTCTGCCGTGTGGGGCAGCATCTCAGGCTCTTGCCCTGTGAAAATGTGGGCCCAGTGCTTCTAGACATGACAGTTTTCCAAGAAAAGCTTGAAGGCTGAATTTTTAGGTGAAACCTTCTGGTTCTTAAACAACTGAACACGCACATACAGTGAGATCGAATAAACCCTATTATGTAAATCATGGCCAGACCACAAGCTTTCAGTTTGCAAACTCTGACCTAGAACATCCTCTTAATGTTGTCTCTTGCTGGAGATCTGACTCAGTGTTAGAACATTCGCCTACCACATATGAAGCACTGGGACCCGATGCCTCCCAGTGGGGCTTTGATAAGGTTGTAATGCCAGCAAATATGCCTTGTATCAAGCCAAATTACTTACATATTTTAAGCTGTGCCTACCTCGGTATAGTACACAAATATTTTTTGGAATAAAACTCAACTCTCTGAGAAAGCTAATTGATTATATGGAGCTTTTCCTAAACAAATATTACTAACAAAAGAGAAATGGTC